AAATATTGGCAAGCCGATTGCAACAGCAAATCAAAAAACTTATTCATCACGAACAACTAGGATTCATCCTGGGGATGCAAGGCTGGTTCAACATACGCAAGTCTATCAACGTAATTCACCACATAAACAGAACCAAAAACAAAAACCACATGATTATCTCAATTGACGCAGAGAAGGCATTTGACAAAATTCAACAGTCCTTTATGCTAAAAACCCTCAATAAACTCGGTATTGATGGAACGTATCTCAAAGTAATAAAAGCTATTTATGACAAACCAACAGCCAATATCATACTGAATGGGCAAAAACTGGAAGCATTCCCTTTGAAATCTGGCACTAGACAAGGATGCCCTCTCTCACCACTCCTATTCAATATAGTACTGGAAGTTCTAGCCAGAGCAATCAGGCAAGAAAAAGAAATAAAGGGTATTCAAATAGGAAAGGTGGAAGCCAAATTGTCTCTATTTGCAGACGACATGATAGTATACCTAGAAGACCCCATCGCCTCAGCCCAAAAACTCCTGAAACTGATAAGCAACTTCAGCAAAGTCTCAGGATATCAAATCAATGTGCAAAAATCACAAGCATTCGTCTACACCAATAACAGACTTAAAGATAGCCAAATCAAGAACAAACTGCCATTTGCAATTGCTACAAAAAGAATAAAATACCTTGGAATACAACTCACAAGGAATGTAAGAGACCTCTTCAAGGAGAAGTACAAACCACTGCTCAATGAAATCAGAGAGGACACAAACAGATGGAGAAACATTCCATGTTCATGGTTAGGAAGAATTAATATCGTGAAAATGGCTATACTGCCCAAAGTAATTTACAGAATCAACGCTATCCCCATCAAGCTACCATTGACTTTCTTCACAGAACTGGAAAAAACCACCATGAATTTCATATGGAACCAAAAGAGAGCCCGCATAGCCAAGTCAATTCTAAACAAAAAGAACACAGCGGGGGGCATCACACTACCGGGTTTCAAACTATACTACAAGGCTACAGTAATCAAAACAGCATGGTACTGGTACCAAAACAGAGATATAGACCAATGGAACAAAACAGAGACACCGGAGGCAACACAACATATCTACAACTATACAATCTTTGATAAACCTGGAAAAAACCAGCAATGGGGAAAGGATTCCCTGTTTAACAAATGGTGTTGGGAAAACTGGCTAGCCATGTGCAGAAAGCAGAAACTGGACCCCTTCCTGACACCTTACACTAAAATTAACTCCAGATGGATTAAAGACTTAAACATAAGACCTGGCACCATAAAAACCCTAGAAGGAAATCTAGGCAAAACTATCCAGGACATACGAGTAGGCAAGGACTTCATAAACAAAACACCAAAAGCATTGGCAACAAAAGCCAAAATAGACAAATGGGACCTAATGAAACTCCACAGCTTCTGCACGGCAAAAGAAACAGTCACTAGAGTGGATCAGCAACCAACAGAATGGGAAAAAGTTTTCGCAGTCTACCCATCTGACAAAGGGCTGATATCCAGAATTTACAAAGAACTCAAACAGATTTACAAGAAAAAAACAAACAAGCCCATTCAAAAGTGGGCAAAGGATATGAGCAGACACTTTACGAAAGAAGACATATATGAGGCCAACAATCATATGAAAAAATGCTCATCGTCACCGGTCATCAGAGAGATGCAAATCAAAACCACATTGAGATACCATCTCACGCCAGTTAGAATGGCGATCATTAAAAAATCTGGAGACAACAGATGCTGGAGAGGATGTGGAGAAAAAGGAACACTTTTACACTGTTGGTGGGAGTGTAAATTAGTTCAACCATTGTGGAAGACAGTGTGGCGATTCCTCAAGGCCCTAGAAATAGAAATTCCATTTGACCCAGCAATCCCATTACTGGGTATATATCCAAAAGTCTATAAATCATTCTACTATAAGGACACATGTACACGAATGTTCATTGCAGCACTGTTTACAATAGCAAAGACCTGGAATCAACCCAAATGCCCATTGATAATAGACTGGATTGAAAAAATGTGGCACATATACACCATGGAATATTATGCAGCAATCAGAAATGATGAGTTTGTGTCATTTGTAGGGACATGGATGAATCTGGAGAATATCATCCTCAGCAAACTGACACAAGAACAGAAAATGAAACACCGCATATTCTCACTCATAGGTGGGTGATGAAAAATGAGAACACATGGACACAGAAAGGGGAGTACTAAACACTGGGGTCTATTGGGGAGAAAAGGGGAGGGCCAGTGGGAGGGGGAGGTGGGGAGGGATAGCCTGGGGAGAAATGCCAAATGTGGGTGAAGGGGAGAAGAAAAGCAAAGCACACTGCCATGTGTGTACCTACGCAACAGTCTTGCATGCTCTGCTCATGTACCCCAAAACCTAAAATCCAATAAAAAATTTAAAAAAAAAGGGTATTGTGCAGAGGGTGCTCTGCAGAAGAGTATATTTGTGAGCTACGTGAACTCTTTGTGTCAAAACAAAGGGGAAAAGTTTATTTTACATGAGTTCATTTCTTTTCTCAAGGTTATAATTGTCAGTTCAGAGGTGGAAGTGTTCTCCAAACTCAGCTACATTTTCAAAAACAAATGGCTATTGAGGATGATGTGTTTTACGGAGATTCTGCTCCATTTCCCCCAGCTGGAAACTCTCAAGTATTTTGAGAATGAACCTCGCTCTCTGTCTAGGAATCAGAGAGCACTGAAACAACACTGGAAGCCCTCAACGTCCTGTCACCTTACTGCTAAGCTGCTGACCTGCTGACAATGATCAGTACTTTTCCCCCGGGTCAGTTTGACACAGAATTCTTTTTTCCCACTGATGCCAACCCAGTGCAGTCTATCCTGTCCCATGTTTACAGAACACTGTTCCTACAATCACCTCTTTATGAAGATGTTATGCCTTTCTAGTTGTAATGTTCTCCAATCTGACTGTGTTTCCTTTCTTTGCATCCCACTCCCCACTACTCCTTCAGCCATGTCCTCTCATTGCTGCCCACAGCACCATGCCCTCATGCCAGCTCCTCATCTTCCAATTCTCCTTAATGTACATTGCCTGCCCAGGTGACATTACTCTTCCAACGCTTCTCTTGCCAAGGTCTCTGGTGCCTTCACACTTACAAACTGGAGGTCTCCATCCCAACACTCAACTCCCCAAGCCTTTTCTAATCTTGTACAGGACACTGCTGTCTGCCTAACTGCTGGGGTAACCCCAATGCCTGCATTAAGTGACCCTTCTGTCATCTGTCTCCAATGCCTTTTATGTTTACCTTCACTGGTAGTCTGCCTGGGTTGATTATGAGCCACAATCTGTCACTGCTCACCTGTATTACTCTCATTGCTTTTTAGCTCTCTTCTCTGCCTCCAATCTGCCTCTCAACCAAAGCCTACCCTCCCCACAGCAGTCAGCACATCCTCTTTATTAACAGCACTCACTCCCCTGCTCAGGATCTACCATGAGTCCCTCCCCCATCAAATCGGAAAACATGAACATCTTCCTATGACCTACAAGCCCAACAGCTGTGTGAACAGTGGCTCTGCCTGTGCGGCCTCATCTCCGCAGCTTTTCTTATTCCTCTCTCTGATCACACTGGTCACCTTGCCATCTGTTCTGTGAACAGATGTGAAACACGTTCTTGTCTCTGCTGCCTGTAATGCCAGCACTTCTTCCCTTCGTTGCTTCGATCAGGTCACTGGTCAACTGTTGGCTCTCTAGAGAGACTCTTCCTTATGATTCTGTCTAAAGTAGCGACCCCCCCCAACACTCTGTATCCTTCACTCTGTATCCCTTCATCCTGCTTCCTCTTCCTGCTATTTGACACTACCTGAAAAACTGCTTGTCTCTCACTAGAACATAAGCTCATAAAGGCAAGAACTGTGTTCAACCTGTCCTCTCCTCTACCCAGCACTGAGAAGAATGACAGAGTCAGCATCCAGTGAGTGTTTATGGAATAAGTCACTTTTTGGCAAAGTCAGCACTGGGACAGCAAACTCTTTTATCTTGAGCTCTTTTATTATCCTCTCCTGCTTTTTCTCCTCCTGCTCTAGTAGCCATTCCTCTGAGGGCTTGTGCCTTACTAATAGTCCTTATAGAACTATCTTCTATCCATTTTTTAAATCTTCTTTAAAGACACTGTCTAACTTTGTTGCCCAAGCTGCAGTGCAGTGGCATGATCATGGTTCACTGCAGCCTCCGCTTCCCAGGCTCAAGTAATCTTCCTGTCTCTATCTACCATGAACCTGGGTCTACAGTCATGTGCCACAATGCCTGGCTAATTTATTGATTTGTTTGTAGAGATGGGGGCCTCCCCTTATTGCCAAGACTATTCTTGAACTCCCAAGCTCAAGCAATCCTCTCGCTGCGGCCTCCCAAAGTGCTGGGATTGTAAGGGTGACCCACCACACCTGGCCTTATTTTTTTTCTTTACTTAAAATACACGTTCTCGCCATGTGGCTCAGGCTGGACTAAAACTACTGGGCTCAAGTAATCCCACCAGCTCAGCCTCCCAAGTGTAGGAGATTTGTCAAGGTGGTGGGAGAAGCTATAAGGAAAGATGGAAACCTTCTTGAAAGGTCAGAGGGTTTTGCAAAGCTTCGGAAACGAATAAAGCTAAAGGTGGCTAATTATCTTCCCCTGAGGCTAAGGGCGAGGAGTAGGTAACAGGGGAGTATAAAAGGATTTATCAGGGGCCAGGTGGGGTGGCTCACACCTGTAATCCCAGCACTTTGGGAGGCCGAGGCGGGTGGATCACAAGGTCAAGAGATCAAGACCATCCTGGTCAACATGGTGAAACCCCATCTTTACTAAAAATACCAAAAATTAGCTGGGCACAGTGGCATGTGCCTGTAATCCCAGCTACTCAGGAGGCTGAGGCAGGAGAATTGCCTGAACTGGAGGTTGCAGTGAATCAAGATCACGCCATTGCACTCCAGCCTGGGTAACAAGAAAAACTCCGTCTCAAAAAAAAAAAAAAAAAAAGGTGCGCGGGACAAAGGGAAGCGAAGCCGGAGCTGCGGGCGCTTTTTCTGCCCGCGGTGTCTCAGATTCATTCTTAAGGAACTGAGAACTTAATCTTCCAAAATGTCAAAAAGACCATCTTATGCCCCACCTCCCACCCCAGCTCCTGCAACACAAATGCCCAGCACACCAGGGTTTGTGGGATACAATCCATACAGTCATCTCGCCTACAACAACTACAGGCTGGGAGGGAACCCGGGCACCAACAGCCGGGTCACGGCATCCTCTGGTATTACGATTCCAAAACCCCCAAAGCCACCAGATAAGCCGCTGATGCCCTACATGAGGTACAGCAGAAAGGTCTGGGACCAAGTAAAGGCTTCCAACCCTGACCTAAAGTTGTGGGAGATTGGCAAGATTATTGGTGGCATGTGGCGAGATCTCACTGATGAAGAAAAACAAGAATATTTAAACGAATACGAAGCAGAAAAGATAGAGTACAATGAATCTATGAAGGCCTATCATAATTCCCCCGCGTACCTTGCTTACATAAATGCAAAAAGTCGTGCAGAAGCTGCTTTAGAGGAAGAAAGTCGACAGAGACAGTCTCACATGGAGAAAGGAGAACCGTACATGAGCATTCAGCCTGCTGAAGATCCAGATGATTACGATGATGGCTTTTCAATGAAGCATACAGCCACCGCCCGTTTCCAGAGAAACCACCGCCTCATCAGTGAAATCCTTAGTGAGAGTGTGGTGCCAGACGTTCGGTCAGTTGTCACAACAGCTAGAATGCAGGTCCTCAAACGACAGGTCCAGTCCTTAATGGTTCATCAGCGAAAACTAGAAGCTGAACTTCTTCAGATAGAGGAACGACACCAGGAGAAGAAGAGGAAATTCCTGGAAAGCACAGATTCGTTTAACAATGAACTTAAAAGGTTGTGCCGTCTGAAAGTAGAAGTGGATATGGAGAAAATTGCAGCTGAGATTGCACAGGCAGAGGAACAGGCCCGCAAAAGGCAGGAGGAAAGGGAGAAGGAGGCAGCAAAGCAAGCTGAACGCAGTCAGAGCAGCATCGTTCCTGAGGAAGAACAAGCAGCCAACAAAGGCGAGGAGAAGAAGGACGACTAGAACATTCCAATGGAGACAGAGGAGACACACCTTGAAGAAACGACAGAGAACCAACAAAACGGTGAAGAAGGCACGTCTACTCCTGAGGACAAGGAGAGTGGGCAGGAGGGGGTCGACAGTATGGCAGAGGAAGGAACCAGTGATAGCAACACTGGCTCGGAGAGCAACAGTGCAACAGTGGAGGAGCCCCCAACAGATCCCATACCAGAAGATGAGAAAAAAGAATAAATGTTGCCTTGTTTTATGTGTTCTAAATACTTTTTTAAATGAAAAAATGTTTTTTGGTTTAAAAAAAAAAAAAAAAGGATTTTTCTGGATAAGTTTGTTTACTTAGGTTGTCAGGAAATTGACCTTTCATATCTGCTCCTGATACTGCTCCCTGCAAAGGAGAATGACAATGTTTATTACGCACCAACTGTGTTGGCTCCAGCCTTTCAACTTTATGTCTATACTGAATAAATACAAGTGGCTCTGGCTTATCAGGGATGCCCCCCAGCTGCTCTCACACAAAATACATGCATCTGAATACTCCTTTTTCATCCATCGCTCAACCAGAGTCTGCAGGACAGACTTTGCAGCTTGTGCCCCATGTGAGGTATGCTGCAATGGATTGCAAAGGAATCCCCAAAAATGAAGGTAAGGAGACTGCACAGTCAGTAAGTCATTGGTGCGTACTTGGAATTTCCAGGTTCGAGGGAACTTTTCCCCAACACCCAGGGAAAGGAAAGGGAAAAGGGCAGTTTTGGAAGCATGGGAGCCACAGCAGTATATTGGAACCAATAAATTACTGATCAGAGACCCATGAGTACCTTAAAAATTAGAAATAAAAACTTTACTGGCTTATTTGACACAGGAGTGGATATTTCAATCATTAGTAATCAAAACTGGCCAGAAACTTGGCCTTGAGTCACTCGGAAACAAATACTTGCCAGCATCAGGAAGCACACACAGCCAAGCAGAGCACATGCTCCCTAACATGTGATTTGGAGAGAAGAAAAGCAGCTATACCACCTCTAATCATAACCATCCTGTTAATCTTTGGTATGGGACCTATTAGCCCAATGGGGAGGGTGCCACTCTGCAGACCCATTTCTAATAATGGCCGCTGTTGTAATTCCTCCCTTACCCCTGACATGACTTTCTCAAGATCCAATTTGGGTAGAACATTCCTTTAAAGGGAGAGAAACTACAACGAGCCCATGAACTAGTTGAAGAACAGTTAAAAGCCGGCCACATAGAACCATCAAACAGCCCCTGGAATTCACCCATTTGTATCATTCCCAAAACGTCTGGCAAATGGTGAATTTTGCATGACTTATGGGCTATCACTGCCAATTTGAAACCTATGGGGCCCCTTCAACATGGGCCCTTCCCTCATGGCAATTCCTCAAGATTGACCTATAGTCACTATTGACTTAAAAGATTGTTTTTATACTGTCTCCCTTGCAGAACAGGACAGAGAATAATTTGCATTTACAATACCAGCTATCAATAATGAAAGGCCAGCTTGCCAATTTCATTGGAAAGTACTACCTGATGGAATGCTGAACAGTTCCACCATGTAAATAAGGCTTTGCTCCCCAGTAGAAAAAAAAATTCTAATTGCAAGATTATTCATTATATGGATGAAATTTTACTAGCAGCCCCAATAGGACCAGTACTTTTGAGTTTCTATGCTTCTAGTATAAGGAATACACAGTTAAGAGGTTTAATCATAACACCTGAAAAAGTTCAGATGTCCTCTCTTCGGAAATATCTTGGTTACATACTAACTTCCTGGTCAGTAAGACCTCAAAAGGTTAAATTAAATACTAGTAAGTTACATACCTTAAATGATTGTCAAAAGTAACTGGGCAATATTAACTGACTTCACCCCACTTTGGGCATAACTACTGATAAGTTACAAAACCTGTTTTCTACCCTACAGAGCAATACAGCTCTAGACTCGCCCAGGTATTTAACCCCTACAACAAAAAAGGAAATTGAGGAAAGAGAGCAAACTATTTCTCAGAGTCAACTAGATCACATAGATGCATGATATTGAGTCCAACTGCTTGTTTTTCCTACTAAACATTCCCCAGCAGCATTAATAGAAGAGATGGCTCCAGGGCTGCACTTCCTCAAATGGGTTTGGAGCTAAAACACTGTCTCTAGTTAGTAAGGTCATCTATACAGGCCCCAGATAATGCAATCTATTGCTAGGTTATGGCCCCAATGTCATAAGAATTCCCTTGAGTAAAAAACAATTTGAAGCAGTCCTGCCTCTATCTCTAGACCTTCAGCCAGCACTCTCTGATTATATAGGCCATATAGAACATGCCCTTCCCACTGCCAAACCACTTCAGTTCTTATCTTGTACTCCTGTAGTTATGCCTACAAAGGTAGTTCCTCCCTTATACCTAACACTTCAATGCTTTTTACTGATGGCTCTGGTAAAAATGGAGAGTGGCTATCTTGTGGGAACCGCATAACTCCCTCACTTGATCTGGATTTACTAGCATTCAGATAGCTGAGGTTGAAGCCCTAATATTGACCCTGGAAACTTTTTTTGCTCAGCCTATCAATATTGCTAGTGACTCCGCTTATTCTGTTTATTTATTGCAGAACCTTGAAACAGCCCTCATCAAGTCCACTCTCGAGCCCACCCCATGTGCACTTTTACTTCAACTTTGACAATTGCTGGATCAATGTATGCATCATATTTTTGTCACACATATTCAAGCCCACAGCTTGCTGCCTGGCCCACCGGCTTATGGCAATGATCAAGCAGTCCTGCAGGTTATGACATCACTGCTTGCCCAAGCCACCCAATCACATCAGTGTTTCTACCAAAATTGAAGAAACTTAACTAAACAACTATGATTACCCAAAGACTAGCTAAACAGATTATCCTGCAACACCCAGAGTGCCAGCTCACAGACATGTCCCCTCCTTCAACAGCTGTTAATCCTAGAGGACTAGAACCTAATCGGCTATGGCAAACAGATGTTACGCACATCCCTGAATTTGGAAAACTAAGATATGTACCTGTATCTGTTGATACAAATTCCCACCTAATTAGCACTCAGGCTCTTCCTGGAGAGTCCCCCTGATATGTCATTACACATCTTTTAACTTTTTGTGTTTATGGGGCAGTCCACAAAAATTAAAACTGATAATGGTCTGACTTATGTTAGTTCACAATTTCAACAATTTTATCACACACGGAGCATCCAACATTCCACAGGCATCCCAATAACCCCCAAGGAAAGGTCATGGTAGAACATGCCCACTCCACCCTTAAAAATATGCTCAGAAAACAGAAAAGGGGAATATGAGTAAGAACCCTACTAGCACAAACCTTATTTACCCTTAATTTCTTAAATTTAAATGATAAATTTCAATCAGCTATAGAAAAGCACTTTGCCAAAACCTCTCAAGACATAAAACCTGCCATATTATGGAAAGATGTAACTAGGAATGTATGGTGTGGTCCAAATAATTTTCTAATGTGGGGAACAAGATATAGTTGTGTTCACACCCCCTTGAGCCCTCTTTGGATTCCAGCACGATTCATCAAACCTTACCATGGTGTGGCCAGGACCCAATCAGGTACCAGAAATGAAGGAAATGACCCCAAAGGACCCACAGCCCTGAATGATGTGGCTTCTTTGAACAACACAGGCCTCAGACATTGCCTGGGAGATGCTGAAGAAGACAACTCAGGAGATTGAGCAAATCTGGCTCCAGACACAAACACCATTGATTTCAGATAATTTATTCCTTGTTATGCTTTCAGTTGTACATTGCAACTCTTGTAGAGTGTTAATTTTTCTTATTCTCTCACTTTGCCTGCAACCCATACCTGCTACACTCTGTTGGACTTATCTCTTAGATCTGCCTTTTGTCCACCCTGTTACCTAGGCAGACACCCGCTTCCCAGACTCTGATAATGTAACTGCTTGGCTAGGAGGAATTGACTTACCCTCGGTAGGGTTCCTCATTAATGGCGCACATTTGACTGAGGTGCCAGGTAACACTACATATCATTCCACAATCCTCCCGCTGTAAGTTATAAAAGTTCCAATCCTTACTGTATACCTGCCCAGACACAATTATGGATACATCATGTCAAAGGAAATGCCTTAACATTCTTGGTTAGCCTCAAACCAGGCAATACAACTAATGCCACCTTCCCCAACATTCCTCCCTGTGCTAAAGAACAAAGCCAAGAAAGTAATGGATTCCACTTTGGCTGGGAGGTCTGTCACAGGGGACAAGCCCATAGCCTCCAGTTAGGCAACTGTAACATCATAAACCGGATCCCCCACAGCCATTTGCAGGCCGACCACACTGATGTCTGTATTCATCGTGGCATCAATCACAGCTTCATAGGTATGTCTCATTCCCCTATGATTTTGGCTGATGGGGAGATGGGGTATCCCAGACCCCAAGTAGAGTTCATGCCACCCCAAGGCACTTTATGGCACTGAGGACATCTTAGCACCAACCTTAACACCTGGCATGGTGTATATCATAATTCCAATAACAATTATACTATGACCTCTATTCATAATTACACAGATCAGTGCCTGATTTGCACTATCCATCCATATGTTTTTCTTATGGGAATCAATATTTCCATGACACCCCAAAACTCCATGTTTGTAACTCAAGTACAGAAACAGACTTGGTTCGCCTCATGTATCACTAATGACAATATATCTAATTTAAATATTACTAGTGTCATGGTATTAAGAAGACAATCTGAGGCATCCGTACTGGTCAATTTGACATGTGATTGTTACAGTTCCTCTGCCCTTGCCACCTTAGAATGTGCCCTCTTCCAGGTCAGATGCAAAAGATTCACAGGTACACTTATAGCCCTCAGTCTCAGCCATCGTCATCCTAATCACTGCTCAAGTTGCTGTTGTATCTATTACTGAGTCAGTACAGACAGCTACGTTTGTAGACAGCTTGGCCAGAAATGTGTCTGGTGAACTCCTCCTACAGCAGGGTATAGATCAAAACCTTGCATGTCTGCAAGCCCTTAAGGTTGCCTTTGAATATGTAGGGAAATGACAAGATGCACTGGCATTCTGACAGTAATTAAACTGCGACTGGGATCATAAGCATATCTTGCCTCTCTACCTTGGAATCAAACAATACATAGTTGGGATGAGGTAAAGCAACACTGCTGGGGAAACTTACATGATAATTTAACAGCAGACATAAATCAATGTAAAACTAAAATTCTAAAATCCCTAAACACCATAGATCTACACACCTAACAAACAGCCACATGGAAGGATGTG